TCCAGCTAGCTCTCAAATTGTGAATTGATTAAATTATTTCTGTATTTGATAATTGTAACCTGGACAAAAAGTTAAGGAAAAATACAATTAAAGAGACAATATTTTACCTGAATTGTTTTTGTTGGTATTTTTGTTGTGAAATATTTTCTTTGCTCTGAGATGATGTTCAGTGCCTGGATACCTGACTCTTCACGGTTGTCTTCTATGTCTGTTAATATTTAGACTCTACAGTCCACGGGTGACTGTCATGTTGATTGGATGCTAAATATAGCATGCCACTAATTTGCATAATTCTAATTTTGTGAACAATGAATGACATGTTTCCCCTCCTACTCTATAATGACTGATAGTTGTGACACCCATGGAATTGAGATTGCCTTACTCTTCATGACACTCTCTGGTGACATCCACCCCTTGAGACGTCAAAATATATATGGTTGAGGCAATGTCAATCAATTCAACAAATGTGTTTGGTCATGTCGTCAGTCATCTAGAATTTAGGACGACAACAGACCAAAACGATATCAGTGTTTAAATGAACTTTGTGTCTCATTTACATCATGGAAGTGCTTTGTCACTAGATAGGAAAGGTGTATTGTCCGTAAAATGGTATATCTATTATAAACAACTTTGAGTCACACGCGAGTTTTGAGTTAATTTTGTTGCAATCACAACATTCCAACATAAATGCTAAAAAAATAAATACAAAGTCTTTGATATCAAGATTTTAAATGAGTATCGCAGAATATGGAACAATACCACAAAATGGTCACCATTAAGAATGAATTAAAGTTACATTGCAACAGTAACTCGTCATGTGTAATATTCATGTGTAATAGGTTTACAAAATACCAGGTATGTCAGATACGTCACAGAACAGCAGTTGGTTCAAATTTCTACTTACTTTTATCTTCAAATGGTTTGATTGTTATTGTTAATTGTAATCTTCTATTTCGGCATGGCTTCAAGGAGTTTTCAGAGACAACAAGATTCCTGTTTTGAAAACTAGGCCAAGGGACAAGTTTGTATAGGGTGAATGGCAAGAACAAAATAGCAAAGTAATGTATAATCTCGGACTAGTAATACAACAGACTCGCAACGCCTATTGTTTAAGGTGTTAATCGGGTTAATTGTATATGCTAAGCGTGCCGCGCTCTGAAGCATTGGCATAGACACCGTCGAAGTTTACCGAGCACTGGATATTCTGCACACTTCGCGCTCCTTCGGAAATTGCGTATTTCTTCGTAAAACGGATCCGGATATATTTAAAAAACGGGAGATGCGTTCTGGACATTTTGACGTTTGCAGCTGTGCAAGAATTTTAAGAATCGACCAAGAATCAGGGGAGTTACAAGTAACTGAATGTCTTAGTGTTTACCTCAAATAGTTTTTGAATATATAATGAGCAACTTTGAAACGATATTTCTCGCTGTTGCGGATTTTGCGGAAGGTTTCCAATATTTTGTCGTATTACTAATCTGAGGTATGGAGAAACGTTTAAACCAAAGAATTGTCAACCTGCATTTATGAATAGAATTATCCACTGGGTTTTAATTTTCCTATTTTCGGTGATAAGTGAAATCCGCTAAATTAAATCTGTGTGAACATGTAAAATAATAAAATTCATTGTTTCCTTGACAATTTGTGAAATTAAATATCAGTGAAAATAAATCATGGTTTTACAGCATTTACATCAAGACAATATAGTTCACCCCAAAAATAGAATGTTCCTCAAAAATTACTCCATGTTGATTTACAGTTGATATTATATTGATACTACCAGAGGTACATTACTTGGGGTTTGTAACTACGGTGACATGATACCAAGATCCCGTCACAATCTCGCTCTCGCATAAGCGTTCCAACTCAGAAAAATGCGAATGCGCATGCCCGAGGTAACTAGGATACTGGGATGTCCAGGTGGATCAAAATAGCTGCCCACGGTATGACGGATTACGAGAACTATATTTTCTGTACATTTTCGATGTATTACATTTTTCACTATGATAGTGACAAGAAAAGTTTTATTTTTTCATTACAAACCTTGAACATTGATATGTGTCATGTCAGAAGGTCGTAGCCTCAGTCTCGCTATCTACGAGAAGTGACTTGAATGGGATCTTGACATGATGTCACCATACAGTACTATGCGAGTTGCAAACCTCAAGTAATGTACCTCTGATACTACCAAGAATTGAAACATTCATCGTCCGGTTCGCAGGTTTTGGTAA